TGGAAGATACGACAGAAGACCGTGCCCCTCCAGTGTGGCATTCAAAATCGATGTACATCTATGGACAAATCGGCGCAGTCCGGCTTGGGCGAGGCACTTCGCACTTTTGCCACTTCCCAGTGATCTTGTGAAGCAATGGAGTGATACCAGACAAAGTTCGTAGAGTATTTTTCAGCTGTTGTAAAGAGCCTGTCAACTCTTATAAAAGAATGAATACAATGTAAAACATTAGGAAGGAGCGGAAGCGCAGAGTGTTTACTTCCCACCCCTCCCCCCTCCTCCTACCCAAATTGTGCCTTTCCTAATCCGATGCTCATCACAGTAAATGCCTATCATGTGCCTAAAAGCACTTAGGTTACTGTCGAAAACTGATTGCTCCCGATTATCGCGTCGTTTGGCTCAACAAGCATCTACAAACCCTGTACTTTGGGAAGAAATCTAAAATCTGGCTATAAAGTATATACTAGTGTAAAAACAGACGAACATGTGGTACAGATGATAATGACCAGCGGAGCAAAGTCGATTCCCCACGAATGGTCAGAGGCGTACATCCACATGTAGCCGTTGAGCATTGCCGTCTCCATAGTGGCGACACCGATGTACAACATTAACCTAAACAAGGAAAAGTCAGTAAGCGGCTTAGAGGGGACCTAATAAGGCACTCACCGATTCGGTTGTTGCTCCTTCATTTGACACTTTCGCATTTCGATTAGTGCATACCCATGAAGCAGCACGAAGGTGAACAGCATCAAAGCACGGTAGTCGTTGGCTGTGTGAGATGCCGAAAAGCCTAGAACGATTAAGGTCTTAAGCAGTGTACCAGAAGATGGCGGGTACAGTCATGAACCCTCAAACGATAGGGCGTGTGACGAGGCGTGGACTGGAGCGCCGCCAAGGCAGCTCTTCCTTGCCCGCAGTGGCTGGGCTGTTCTGGTTGCAATCCAACCGACGCGCCCCTTCACAGAGCCTATACCTTTGTGAGGATCAGAATAAAGGTAGTCAGCTCAAATAAATTATATCTAAGTTAGTCTGCTATTGAGCTCCCAGTGGGAGTGTAGGCGTATAGGCGGTGCTGGCTCGGACCAGGTCCGCTAATGGAGCCCAAGGCTCATGGCCATGGCATAGAGATCGAAGCATCCACTACAGAGGAGCAACAGAAAGAATACGGCCGCAGGGGAAGGCTGAGATAAACCAATGAAAGTATGCATCGGTGGGCGCGGAAGAATAATCACGAGTGATAGAAGACTCGGTTCTCATTAGCCCCACACCCTCCACCTCTCAGTTGAACTGCACTCGACTCCAGGCGAAGGAGTTGTGTGGGCAGAGCCCGTCCCAAAAGCACCTGTGGCTGAAATAATGCATGTTGTGGACTTAATTCGAAGTTAATTCTCTGTGAAATACCATTTCCATCAGTCAATTAGCAGCACTTGCGCCTGGTAGTGATATAAGGTGGCTGGGTACTTGATACGCCGCGTGCCTTCCCACTCCGTCGGCTGCTTCCCCAAGGTGCAGACACTTTGCAACGCCATACCGAGGCTTGCAGCAAACCGCACCTACGAACAACAGTCTAAGAGTGAGTTGAGAGACGAGGACGAAAAGTACCGTTGGCTATGGCTAGGCGCCTCGCTGGCTGTGGGCAGTGCAGGCAGGATTCGGCGCGGGCATAGCTAATGTGCAGCCCCACTCCCATGCAACTTCAAAAACGTAGAAACCTGCTCGCTACTGCAGCGATGAACCCTATCTCCTCACACATGGCAAAGGATCAGTGATCCATGGAGGTGAGTGTGCAGTTTTTCTTTGAATCCTTGGATCTGTGCAAAAATGAAAGCGCTGAAAATAATAAGGGTAACCTTTCGTGCAACAAGAAAAGTCACTGGTCCAAATCTGACTGAAATAATGAAGAACCTAGGTGTGAAATAGTCACAGGTGTCATGGCTAGAAATAAGCCTAGCTGTCACAGAGGGCAGCGTCAATCTTGGGATCCTCATTGAGGGGGGGGGGGAGGGGCGTCGCCATTTTGCAAATTTCCCCTAGTGCAGGAGGTGCATGGGCTGTACATTTCCATAGATTCGATTTCTTCTCTCAGCCCATAAACTTGTTTATAGGCTCCAACTTGTCATGAAGGAATGACTACCATTAGCTGACGTTCAGATCGCATCGGAGCTACTGCCAAAGCAGGCTGCGCCTTTGAATGCTCGTCGAACTTGCGGAAGGCCAATGCAACGGATTGAAGGCTCCGTTTCGACATTAGGGGTGTCTTATGAGGAAAAAGGTTAGGATCTATCATCCAACAAAGCTTAACCACTTACCGATGATTGAAAGTGAATTCAAGGCGAACACGCAGAATATCGCGATCCCGAAGAAGATTTCAACGACGAATAGACCAAAGAAGGCATTTTCATAGCTCATTTGGAAGAGGCTGTTGTAGAGCCCATAGGCTAGAGAGTGAGGTCGTGGTCGAGTCTAAATCGTAAGAGAAGTAGGACAGATCGAGCAAAAAAATGCCTTCAGAGTAGTCACCTACCGTATTCACTGCTGTGTGGACCATCCAGTCACTGGTTGGTTTTAACAGATCGCGGAATGGTAATTTGTGGCGAATCATCATCACATACATCGTATACGAGGCAAAAGCTGCGACGATGAACGTTGGAGCAAACATTATGCCTGAAAGGTATCAGCTAACTGATGAAATTTTGAAGTAGAACCAGCTTTTAACCAATTAATGGGCTGACGCCGCATATAACGTTTGAGTGTTTAACGTTTAACGCTATACGTTTTTATACAGTCGTCATCCGGGCAGCTATTAGGCGTTCGAAAGGTCGCAAAAGGCGGCTTGCAGGGCAGCGACCGCGCACGTAGTGGCATAGTTAAGTTTGGCGGCGACCAGTGTTTTTCAAAACGGTGTCAGCCATTTCTAGGTTAATTGGATGCAACTAGATTGAATTACATTTGGGCAAAAGTGACAATAAACAACCAACCATGGAAAAAGCAGCCAAAAACAGTGAAGAATAGGGAGAAAATGACTGAGCCAGGCCGAAAACAGCTAATCGCCGCCAACAGTTCCTACGAACGCGGTCGCTGCTGCGCTCGCGTCTGCGATCCCTTCAGCCGCCTAATCAATTGCCCGGATGACGAAAGTAGGCTGCGGCAAAAAACTATTAAACAAGTAAGTCAAGAGAGCAACCCTTACCCCACTCCCTCCCTAAAGCTGGTGGTAGTGGTTAGCTTGGTAAACGTGAAGTTCAGGTACATGAGGCCAAGCGTTTTGCTCGCAACGAAATTGAGAATGAAAAGAAATCGTAAATGAAAAATCATTAACTCGATTGAAAAATCGAACAAATGAGAAACATTTCGAGAGCAAATAGCCAATCCAGCAGCCCTTTCGCACTTGCCCCTCAGAAGGGAGCGCCAAGCAAAAACATACATAGTCTCTATCATACACTGCATGTTATCACAAGTCAGAAGTTCTTGAGGATTATATCAGGGTACATCGCGAACGCGTAGCGCTGAACAGCAGTTGTCACAACACAAAGGATAAAGGGTAAAGTGTTCGCCGTTGATTAATCCCTTTATTGGGATGCGACATGCATTCCGCTTCCATTCAGAATCGTACTGGCTTACTAAAAATGCGATGTGCCCTGTTCAATGACTTGCGGTGGCCAGCCTATGTACCGTCAGTGTTCTTATCCCTCCGGCAATTTACCGCTTCCAGGGACAGAATGTTGGGTAGGAATGGGCTGGAGCCAGTTAGTGATTTAAGCCCTGGAATGTGTGTTGTGAGCGTGCCGTTACTAACTACACCACCTTCACCTCGGCAGGCAGTTACACCAGAGAGCAAATAGGGGATAACTTAGAAAAGTAACCATACAGTAGAGAATCCGGGGTTATTCCAAGTGCATTAGAAGTCTGAAATGACACTATCCGTCTGAAGCAGACCGAGATGGCCCAAGTTTTTCGCATTCTACTTTAAATAATCAAAAGTTTAGGCATGGGCCTCTTCAGTGGCATTCCTCGCTAGCCTCGCTACTCGGCACTGTTTGGGGGGGGGGGGGGGGTGAGGCATTTTGCACTTAACGACTTCCCATCGACGTGTCGACCCATCTAGACAGCCTCTTCTCGAGTTGACAGGTTTTACCATGATGGCTTGACGAGCTTGCTCCAGCTTCACAAGAGTTCACAGGTTTCACCAGAGTGAGACTTGTAAACCAGAACTAGTGAAGCAACGAAAGTGCCCCCCCCACCGTCGGCAAACTGCGTCTGTCCTTCATCATCCACCTGCTCCTTCCCTCGAGCGTTTGAGTGAACTCAAGAAAGATTCGCTCGTCAACGCTTGTCTTCCTTTCTTTACAAAGTCACATGCGTATCGCTAGATTTTCGCAATCATGCGATCCCTGCGCCTGCGCGAGGAACTGGCTACTATACTTCCTTTGAGGCGTGTTGCGACTGCCGCTTTTGGTAAATATTTAAATTTTGGGGCACTAAAAATAAAAGGATAAAGGATAAAGTCTTCGCCGTTGATCAATCCCTTTGTGGGATGCGGCACGCATTCTACTTCCATTCAGAATCGTAGTGGCTTATTGAATGCGATGTGGCCTATACAATGACTTGCGGTGGCCAGCCGATGTACAAGTCAGTGTTTTATCCTCCCAGACGAATCTGGTACCAATTCACCGTCCCCGGAGGGTAGAAGGCTTGGTTGGCCTGGGCGGGAGTCGACCCGGGATTCGAACCCGGGACCGCGCGAATGGTGAGCGCCCCACTTGTCACTACACCATCTCCGCCTATAGCAATTATATCTCGTGATACAAACCCGGCAAGCATTGTCAGTATAAGTGTTTTTCAGTCGATCCCAAAGGTGCGTGTTGTCTACAGAATCACAGGGCCATTCCCGCTGCAGGCCAGAGGCGTATCGGCAGGGAAGGAGGGAGTTGGTTACAGGCAACTCAGGTTTACAGGCCGGTTTTCCATACTTGTTGGAGCGCTGTTTTGGTGTTAAAAAAAAAAAATAAAAAGTAAAAGAAAAAAAATAAAAACAAAGAAACGGGATGGTGCGACCAACCCCTGCTAACTGGTACATCAGCGTCTACATCGAGAAACGACTATATCAAATTTATCAGCATTGTTGGTAGGTTGATGATTCATGTGGCGAATTATTAGTAGGGTCCGCAACAAGATTATATCCAATGAAATTTTGACGCGATTGAAAGAGATAGTAAAGTTTCCGCTTCGCAGTTGTCCTGGGACGGAAACTAAACATGTACAGATATTCTATAAGTTGTGCTCTTCAGCGAGGGGCGCTGATTTCAGAACGATTGTGTTTCTCAGAAACAGAAGACACTGGAAATAGTTGCTGTACTTCACCGTAACCAATGAGCCTCTCCGGGGCAAGAGTGGTCCAGGATGAAGCATGGTTCGCTGGCATCGATTATGTTTAGGACGTGTTGCCACGAGAAGTAATCGAATACAGCGGTGAACTTGGTCTGAAAGCTTTTCGCTAAAGAGCGACAGCGGAAATATGATATTTTCGGATTGAAACGATCACATTCAACCCTACTTCAAAAGTAATACCTTTCATGTAGAATGTTATAAACAGAGCGAGCAGATAATGTGCGATGAGAGGAGCTGCGATAGCCCAGAAAGCTACGTACCGCGTTCACTTGATGTTCAGCTGCCTTCTTTGGACATGGTAATTATGTCCGCAATCATAGGGAATGAACTACCTCCGCAGCTCAAGAAATACACGAGGGAAGCGCGACCCATCCGCGACGGGCAGTGACCCCGCCCACTGGCCATGGCAACGCCTAATTTCCATTTTTAAGTGCTACATGACGGTGCGGTTGCTCCACTACTAGCTCACTCATTCCGAATAATGAGGGAGAGGTGATAAGGGGAAAGAGCTGATCCCAACATGAGAAAACTCGTCTGGTACGGGCCCCCTCTTCTTCGCCTTAGGCAAGTATCAAGCGCGGTTCTGCATGTTGGTTCTAGAAGTTCCAAGAACGGATTTTTTTCTTCTTTTTCCTACTCTTATGTTCATTACACCATTCGTCAGTATGGCGAGTCGTAGAAAGTCAGACTTTTGGGCCGCGCTTGGCGCTTTGAATACTGCGGGTAATAACCTCCAATTGGGAAACTGGAAAATTTCTAATATCAGAGTCCGTTTAAACAAATGTCAGATCTGGTTGAGGAAACCCTTGTCCTGGGGTAGCCTAACCCGGCTCTTAGCGCGTTCGTTGATCGGCCTGACGAACTTGCGCTGACAAACAAAAAAATGGACTTCGTAGTCAATCTGACGGTTTCCGCCGAACGCTCATAGAGTGAGGAATGGAAGCAGGAAGAAGTTTGTAGTCATGCGTTCGTCCCAAAAAAATAGGGCGCGCGAGAGGGCGTGAGCTGGACCAAGGCCGATACAATGGCTTTTGGCCACCAATAGCCGCGCAATCGGATGGCAATCATTGATTGGAAAGCAGCCGCTGCAAGTGCCTCCAAACTCCTTCCTTACACGTCCTACCATTTGCAGGGATAATGACTCTATCTAGAAAGACAACTCAAAATAAACTTGAACTCACACATAGCAAAGCAGGGACAAGAGTGAACAACAGCACAGTGTATATAGGACTGGTGGGACGTATAAGGTACTGTAGAAGAGACACAGTACTCAAATCAGTCGTCGTCAAAATGTCAGATTCGATAGTTTGCCAACCTAAACAGCGAAGCGATTAGAGCTAAGAACCAGAGCGGTTTTTAGAAAAGGAAAGATCAAAACTAGGGAAAGAGAAGAAGAACTCTCTTACCGTATACAAAATAGATGACGATATAGCACAATATTTGAACGATTGACGATTGCGACGTGTAGCGGAACAATGTGGTAATCTTCGTACCCAACTGAAAATTGCCTATTACGGCGTAGGCGGATATTCGGAAGTAGGCATTCATCAGACAGACTGAATCTTAGTTTCGATGGTAAATGTGTAAGATTTCTCGGCGCAGTTCGGCGACGGGGGGCATTTTGCACTCCGAGCCATCTAGAGAGCTCTTTCATGAGCAAGACAAGAGTTGACGGGTTTTACCATGGTGGCTAGACGAGCTTGCTCCAGCTTCACAAGAGTTCACAGGTTTCACCAGAGCGGAACTTGTGAACCGGAACTAGTAAAGCAGTGAAGGTACAAAATGCCCCCCCCCTCGTCGCCGAACAGCGCCCTTTCTCACTCAAATGTTTTTCTTCTCTCAAAACGACTTCTTATTCGCTTTTCTTTACTTTGTTTGTTTGAACGCAATTACGAGAAATCTTTTGCTTTCAATATTCTGCTACTCCTTTCAAAGAACTTCGCCCTCGACCAAAGAATTGGCCCCTCAACCAGAGTCGTGATCCCCCCCTTCCCCCCACCAAGTTCAGCAGCGAATCAGACGTATCCATTAAGAAGTTACTCAAAAAAGCTCGAAGAGCCTGAAAATAACCGAAAGCTTTCTTTTTCCAGCCCAGTGGGTAGCATCTCCGTCAAGAGGTCTTGGTCAGCCCATCCCCCCTCTCTCCCTTTAACACCTTGGTCATTCCATGTTTTGAAAATGTACAGAAAACACACTGGCTCATCGGAAATCCAATTCTGATTTGAGTGAAAAAAAGTGACCATCTTTGCGACCAACTGTGCTGAACAAATGGTATGACCGTCACTTGTGTTACTATTCAAGCAGCAGTTGAAGTTGAATCACTGAATTCTCACTCAAGGACCCGACAGCCAGGATTTCACGAGAAAGGTGCGACTGAAAGGAGAGGAGGGGGCAGGTGGTCAGATTATGGAGTCTGAATTCGCTGTATTATATTTCAGGTCCAAGTGTGCTGGACACTGAAATGACATTTGACTCGGTAAGCTTTTCAAGGGATCTTTTCTGAGTTTCCAGTGGATATGCTATATTTTCCGAGGCATGGAACGCATCCTTGCCTCGGAGCATATTCATTGTGTGCTCTTGCCTATGAGAAGGATCTATTTTTAAAGTTTCGAAAGGAATCAGAAGACTAGGAATTACAAGTATGTGATAGGAAAAACTATTCTTGTGTTTAGGAACTTTTCGAGCTTCCTTGCGCCTTATATCCCAAAAAATACGATAATTTTCACTACAATTGGACTATGAGGCTTCGCAGAATTGAGAGTGAAAAATGTGACAAAATTGTTCCAAAGACCAACCGGCATGTAGAGCAAGACTGATGGCGCGGCAAATACGGTGACGATTAAGGCAAAGAAAAGTGAAGCAAAATTTTGGACGGTTGGTACGTCATCGACGAAAGACTGATAGATGAAAGACACGTAAATAATCTGAAAATGCAAAAGGATTTTGTGGGTATATTCATTGCGAAAACAATTCTGCACAAACCATCGGTCCTAAGGAGGTGTACAAGAACTGAGCTGTATAATAGACAATTGCCCAAAGTGAGCCGACTCTGCTTGTAGCAAAACACACCGGCAGCAGATCAAACGATATCGTCTCATCTAAACGGACCAATAGATATCCAACGGAAAGAGGGAGAAATTGAAAAGGCACAATAGC